ACCTTGTAAGAATATGAAGGCCATAATCAGCCCTGTCACCTCCCAATGGATCAAACTGTGCGGTTATTTGATCCATCAACTCTTCTGGCACTGCACAGTCAACAGGTGGCACAGTTACTCTTTCTGGCCAATCCAGCAACTGATCATTTGTACCAGATGTGGATGTACCGGTACGTCTGGCAGACTCTAAGTCTGATGTGGCAGGAGCTTCCTCTTGTGGGACAACTGTTGTAGTGCTGCTGTGTCTACCTTGGGCAGTTCCAAACATGTCCTGCATTGCTGTTGTCTGTCGTCTTTGCTGTTGAAGGTAACCTCTCACAAAACTTTGCGTGGGAGTCAGGTGATGCTCGGTCCTCAACCCATGATGATTCCACGTGCCTATGAAGCCTTGCAGGTCTCTATTAATTCTAGGCAGATACACATAATGAAGAGCCCAAATGTGCATTTCATTGTCAGCATCGATGATGCCCTCACTTTCCAGAAAATGAAATAAATCGTAGTACACATTGGTCATTCCTCGCCAAAGGTCTCTCCAGAGTCTTTCGATTCTCTGGTTATGTGTGCTCCTGCCTCTAAGTGCACTTCCACGGTCATGTCCACGGAAAATGTTCATCATAGCACAAACAGAATTGTTCTCCCCACCTCTGTCAGTCCTGACTCTTGAAGGTGGGCCATAGCGGGCAATAGCTCTGACGAAAGCACTCAAAACCGTGCTACTGCGGTTGTTGTTTGAGGCTTGCAGAAATAAAATCAGTCTACTAAAACCATCCACAGCCCCATGGATAACAATCCGCCACCTAAACAAAGCACATAGTTGAGAGTGGAAAGAGAAAATCAAAAGTTAATAATTTCTACAATCTGTGGAATTGTACAATGAAACACTTAAAAGTCTAACTTCTCTACCTTATTAATTTATGGTTACCATCCAAATGCCATAATGAGTTTGGGCCAGCAACTTGGTAGGATCTGCGTTGTGGTCTGTTTGATAGTGCTCTGAAAGCAGCACTGCTTGGATTTATTCTGATCATGCTATCCCGAACTCTCCTTCTCTGTATGTTTATCCCCTGTGATCGCAGAGATGCTCGGACAGATTCTGGGCCAATCAGGTCATTCCCAACCACAGTTTGCTGCAC